TGTATCCATGTGTATATCTTTACCAGCCTATACACATGAAAACAACAAAGGTGAGATCTCAATTGTAAAACAATGCTATATTTCATCCACAGCTCAGTAATGATGTTAAAGACATAAACCTACTGCGTGCACAGAGCACAGCAGGCTAAAGTAAGAATGTTTTTTCTTCTCTGAACGTCAGTAACCCTGAGCACATAGATACAAAAATATACCCCACTTGCAGAGCCACGTTGCCTAGCAGCCATTCATTGGGTAGGATGGTGTGGCAGTGTGTGAGAAACTCAACAAGACAGAAGCAAAAGACAGCAGGAATTATGATTATATCAAATTGTTGTCATCCAATACTAACAGGATCTGTTCTGTAAAAATGGTTGGTTCTGAAAATACTGACTAATCACACATCAGTGTGTGCTAAGAGTTGCTATGCAAAACTGCATGCAAATTTATAAAAACAGTTAAGTGTGCATATGCACAAATTATCTCAATACATGTCAATCACAGCATATACAGAAAAATGCTTTTAATCTTAAGAAATGCACAAGTGTTCAACAAGGAGTACAAATACAAAAGCAAGTCAGAGTTGATAAGAATGAATGTTTTACTTCTCTGCTGCTGTCTTTGCATATTTAAAAGTCGGTGCTGACACAATTTCCTGAAATTGTAATAAAAACTTCTGCAACATGCTTCGGTCAAGCCGATGCACAACGATGAAACATCCTGTGCACTGCAAATTAAGCAGAGTACACAGTTTCAGACTGAACCTGTTATATAAGTTTTCAAAGCCTGAAGGGCTGTATGTAAGTACTTCCAGCTAGCTGACAATAAAATGGTGGCATGTACAGAAAAACAATGGACATGATACTGTAAAAAAAAAAAAAAAAAAAAAAAAAAACAACAGGACAATTGTGTGATTTTTTTTTTTCTTCTTTCAGCTGCTCCCTTCTTCAGGGGTCACCACAGCAAACTAATCTGAACGAACACTTGGCAATGGTTTTTACACCAGATTCTCTTCCTGATGCAACCACAGACCAATGAGCTACCACAGCCCTCTGTGTGGAGCAAAGAGCTGCCATCTAGGGCGCCCAGGGGAGCAGATGGTGGTGGTTAAGGACCTTGCTCAAGGGCCCAGAGTGGGGCAGTTGAGGGTGGACGCAGGTGTGGCTGTTTCACCTTTCCCACCACATTTTGATGTTGTTGGTACAGGGAGTTGAACCAGCGACCTACCACCTTCTCTAACCTCTGCATCACCGCGCCCCATACAATTGTATGATTTTTAAAAGCTGCTTAATGCAATGCTTGAAATTAAGAAAAATCTGCCGGTACTCTAACAAGAAATCAAATCCACCTCACCTCACTGACTCTAACGAGGCGCACGCATTTCTTGCCTCTCCCTGTTCTCCTCCTGCTTTTTGCTCACTGTCTGTATATTGGAGCAGCACATCTTCCAAAATGAAAATTACTGTTTTGGATCTGACCAACTGGCCTTTCGATGCAAATGACAAAATCTTTTCAACAAAGCAACAGGTTCCTGGAGAACCCTCATCTGCTCAGACGACATGCATGCAGCTGGATATATCTCTGGAGGTGACGTGTCTACCTCTGCTGTCGATCCGAGGATGCTGAAATTGCATATAACTGGAGTTATGATAACAGGTTTCCTTTTTTTGGAATAGTCTGGATCCTGGCTTATCAATATACAAAGAAGACGGCTGCAGATAATTTGGCCCTCGTCAGGCTGCTGCCTATGTGATGGTTGGTCCGTGCTTTGAGGACTCAAAATCAGTTGATTTACAAGCTAAACCATAAGATGGAAGTGATTTGAATCGCAGGCCACCTGCAGCTTTGGGACTTGTCAGCATGGAAACGACCTTGAAGAGGCTCGTAAGCACGGACCAGTATGCACCCTAATCTGACTATTTCAGACCTTGGAAGTATCAGACTCAAGGCTGACAAGAAAAATAGTCTGCCTGAATAAATGAACAATTGTGGATTATCTGAATTGGACTCCCAGTTGGTCTCGAAACAGGCCGACTTATCAATTTCTCCTGAGAAATGTGTAAACTAAGGAAAAAGCTTTGTTTATCCCCCCCCCCCCCCCCCCCCACACACACACACACCCCTGTGGAGACTTATCAGAACTGTGCCAGCTGACCATCATTTTATCAGGACAATGGACTATCTGTTAGTGCTTCATGGACCGCCTCGTTGTCAAATGCATAACGTGTCCATAAATGTGCTGCTGGCAGAGTTTATTTGATGTCTTAAATTGTGTCCTGATAGGACAAGGTGTGAAGAGATCTTTTTTGTAATGTCACTACCCTCTCCTCATGACTTTGTCCCTTTTTTTTTTATCTAAAAAATGTATTCTGAAAAGGATAAAAAGATTGTGCTTTATAGCAGCAGCTACGTGCACTCCGCCCATCTTTCGGACGACAGACATATTCTCGTTGTATCTCAGTGCAATGAGAATAAAGCTTATTCTGATTCTGATCCAGTAATCAAAAACTATATAGCTTAGGGCTGCACAATAGACTAGTGACGTGATAATATTTTGACCAGAGTGGGACAAATGAGGGAAGACATTTTAATGTTGTCCGACCCTCCAATCACAGGCTTGCCTTCTCTAATGTCTGCGCCACCACTTCCCTATAATATTAATACTTTAATCAATTGCAAGAAACACACATTTTGCATCCATCCAGCCATTATCTTTTACCCGCTTCTTACTTTTCAGGTCACGTGGGTCACTGGTGTCCATATACAGCAGTCACTGTGTGAGGCGGGGGAAACCCTGGACAGGTCTCCAGTCCATCAAAGGGACACATAAAGTTTACCGAGACAAACAACCATTCACTCTCTCACTCACACTTAGAGACAATTTAGAGTTACCAATCAGACTAACATGCATGTTTTTGGTCTGTGGGAGGAAACTGGAGTACCCGGGAAAAAAAACCACGCTTGCACGGAGAGAACATGCAAACTTCAGCCAGAACGGCCCCGGGCTGGGATTTGAACTGATGACCTTCTCGCTGAGAGGCAACAGCTCTACCAACTGCACCACCGTGCCTCCCCCACATTTCCCAATTACACTTTTTCTTTTACACTCTAATGTGGTACAGTACAGTCTGACTGATTTATTATGATTTTGTTATTTATATTGGGCAGCTGTGGTTTACTGGTTAGAGCAGTCGTCCTCCAATGGGAGAGTTGGGGGTGCGATTCCACCAGCAGTCACATGTTGAAGTGCCCCTGGGCAAGACACTGAACCTCTCATTGTCTCTGATGTGAGTCCCATCGGCAAATGAATGTGATCTAAAGCACTGATTATTATCTTTCAAATGAGTTCTTCAATTATCTTTGAAGAGATCTAGTAGAGTTTTGTATGAATGCGTGTGTGGAGGTAAATGAGGACACAGATTGTAGCGTAAAGCTCTTTGAGTATCTCGATTATATAGAAAGGTGCTATATAAGTATAGTCCATTTACCATTTATGCACTTCAGGGCCAGTTTAACTACACCTGAATGTTCCCAAACATACCACTGATGCAGAACAAGACTTCTACCCTTCTAAAGTCTTTATAATGAAACATGTGCAGAAAGCCTTAATTCAAACAGGAGCTCTTTACGATGCTCAAACTAACCTTCAAACTGTATAAAACACAAAGAACAAGTAGCACAACAGCAGCAGGCCGCCAAACAGCAACAAGTTTTAAATACATCAAGCAGTAAGCAGCTATATGAAGCACAGGACAAGAAGAAGCACCAGCCGCTGATCAGCAGTGACAACAGACCACCATAGAATGAACTATTATACGTCAATGATCCAATGTGACAAGTATTTTTGTCGCCCATTGCCAAGTGAAGAGGGGAAATTGGAAATACAGCACCAACAATCTGTTGTGCATGTTGTATGATTATAAAAAATTAAAATAAAAAAAGAAATGGGGTATAAACTTCCATTTTGGTGTGTCAACACATCTACTGAAAACTACAAGCGTACTATTCAAATCCCTGAGCGACGGAGGCCAAAAACATACCACTTGTTTAAACTCCCAAGATCTTGCACCGGGTTTCTGGTTCTGTATCTGAATTCTGTCTTTTGTGCTTTCACTCTTTTATATTTTGCTTTAAACCACTCACCAACAACAAATTATTTCATCTATAATATTTGGAAAATAGCATTCAAGACATTGTCCAAGATCCCTCAAATTAAATTCCTGTTTGCTACTCCAGTTTATTTCTCATACTTATGCTTGATTTATAGCAGTCAGAAAGCAGAACAAATGAAATTATTGTTTCCTTTTATTTCACAGCTTCCTAAATTGTAACTATTATACATGTGTAAATTGTGCAAGTGGTAAGGAATCAAACAGTGGAGCCCTATAATTCAGAATATTGATAAATGATTTTTAATATTAAAAGAAAAGCTCATTTTTAAGCCGAGCTGTTCAGTAAACTGAAGGCGTCTGGACTAAATACAGTGAGTCCAGGAGGGAAAAACAATTAGAGTCAGAGGAACAGACTAAACCTGTGACCAATAATGTCTGACATTGCTGATTAAATGGATAAAGGCTCTGGGTGCACCAGTCTGGCCTGAATCCTGGACTCTTTTCTAAACTCGTGGGCTCTGAAAGCGTAGAAATGAAATGTTTGTGTCCTGTCTCCCAGACAGAGGAAATGATGACATCCTAAGGAGACTGCAGAGTCACAGGCTGCAAAAACAACAGGAGAGATGTTCCAGAGCAACAGCAGGGCAACATCTGCCGCAGACATTTCTACACATCAGCACCAAGCAGTGAGTCCTGGTGGACCCCTGAGTCCAGGGACTGGCTCCACCTGTCCTGACCTGGTTCCTACTGAGCCTGAGTGATGGGCAGGATCTGCACCTACAGTCAGCTTAAAACACAAAACAGGCAAAAACAGGAGGGACCTTCATGCTGCAGCTGTCAATCAACCTCAGTGGACAGACAGGCAGACAGACAGGCAGACAGACAGTTTACCTCCACAAAATAAAAGCAGGGCAGCAGAGTGACGCTGTCCTTGGTCTCCTTTCCTCCTTTCAGCCGCTCCTTGGCGCGCGACATGACGAGCGGCCGGAGGTCTCCCCCGGTACCGGGAGACAGAGAACTGTACTTTATTCCCGTCGTAATTTTGACAGAATTCCGGGTCTCGTCCTCGTCTTCTCTGTCCTCCTAGGAGCGCCCCTCCATCCCCTCCTCCCGGTGACGTGGCCTCGATGAGTCGATGTCTAAAAAGAGACGGGTCCGTTATTTCATGCGCCTGAAATCCAGTTTGTGATCCTAGAACCGAGTCGGCTCTGGACTCCTACAAACGTGTTCAGCTCGCGTGCACCTTTTTGTGTGGAAATGAAGGTGTGCGCAGTGTTTCTCCCCCCGTGGGTTCGAGGGGTACCAGCCGGGAACCGCGCATGGGTTTTTCCGTATGGCAGGCCCATTAATCATATATTGCGTGGCATCATTCAAGAAAGAACATCATTGAATTCTTCCTAATATAAAAAAAATAATATTTTAGCAAGCTACAATGCCATTTCTTCAATCTAGAATTAAGATCTCACATGTCTGTGTCTTCTTCTTCTTTCTACTGTTCCCTCTTCAGGGTCTCCGCATAGAGTCGTCCTCCTCCACCTCTGTCCTCACTCCAACTACCTCCATGTCCTCTCTAACTGCATCCGTAAATCTCCTCTTTGTCTTTTTCCTGGCAGCTGCATTTCTAACATCCTTCTACCAGTATACCCACTGTCCCTCCTCTGGGCATGTCCAAACCATCCCAGTAAATACAAAGTTTGTTTTCTCAGTCATCCAGGTATATAACAACAAAAAAGGTTGAATCATGTCATCTGGACTTCGTTTTTTTGTTAAAAAGAAACGTTTCGCCCCTCATCCAAGAGGCTTCGTCAGTCTGAGGCCTAGCCATCTGGTATTACCCAGAAGCCACCCTGACTCTTGTGTTTCAAGCCTGCCTCAGATACCCCTGAAGTCTGGCCTTTTCACTAATGGTTTCAAAAACACAAAGTTTGTTTTCTCAGTCATCCAGGTATATAACAACAAAAAAGGTTAATATACCTGGATGACTGAGAAAACAAACTTTGTGTTTTTGAAA